TGAACAATAAAGCAATTGCGAACAATAAGAATTTGACAGGATAAATGAGATTATCTACCCTTTAATAACTATATGTTTGATTTCGAACCATAGGAACGGAGAAACTTTTTGTACCTAGCATTTTCTCTTTAGGCCCTTGAACCTAGTACGAAATAGGTACTATAAATGATTAACTAAAATGAGTACGAGCGATAAAACTTTAATTAGCAAACTACGTATTTTGGCGTGTCCTGATTTGACATATACCATGTGACGTTGTTTATTAATTGGGAGAAAGTTTGTAACGATGCAATGCATTTGGCTGAATATAAGATTTAGTACTTTGTAATCCTCTCTTTCGTAACAATTGAACAGACATATTTTTAATCAATAAAGAAATTATGAATATGCAAAAATATGAAGTTGTTTGTAAAAAAAATATTACTCTCTTAATTTATATGAACGTGTTACAAGTTGGAGAGTCAAATATCCTTTTTTGTATTTTTCTCAAACTTTTTTGGTACAATTACTTTATTACATTTTTCATGTAGTACAATAATTGTTTTCAACATGATATCACAAAAGAATGGGAGAACGAACACAAATTGTGCGACTAAACCCAATAAAACGAAGAAAACACAACAGTTTCAAATTTGCACTGCAAAGAAGATGGGTGTAGCGGATGAGACTGTTATTTCTTTAACAAAAAAATACTTGATAGGAAACACTTTCCCTCGAATGAGTACTATGCCGCACGAATCCGAATATAATGAGTTTTCAAATAACAAAAAAAGAAAAAAAAAAGTTCCAAATTTGCTAACAGATGAGAAGAAGAAAAAAGCAGCAAGCAAAGACTTTGTCTTGGGTTGAGACCAGATTTATCTCACATTTAACTCTCAATTCAATTGTGTCTATACCACAATACGCCAGCAAATCCTTCAATTCTTGCATGCATGACACCTGTTTCCCTATAACCATTCTCTTCCCTCTACATAAACTGCTTCAACTTCCTGCATTTTCTACACCGTTTGAGAAAAGAATCAACTTTTTTTTGGCAAGTGATAAAAGGAAAATGGGAAACAGAAAGGATCTTTTGATCTTATTGCTGGTGATTTCCTCTGCTCTTGTGGCTTCTGTTAGTGGTTATGAATATGACAGAAGAGGGAAAGAGATGGAAGAAGAAGAAGAGGAAAGTGAAAGTGGATGGTTTTTATTGCATGATTCAAAGGAAATAGTGAGGACTGATGCTGGAGTTATGAGAGTGGTGAGAGGTGGATTTGGTGGTGGGATTTCTATGTTTCAAAGTCCAATGCATATTGGTTTTATTACTATGGAACCTAACAGTCTTTTCATCCCTCAGTATCTTGATTCTCATCTCACCCTCTTTGTTCGCCGAGGTAGAGTTTTCATCTTTTTCGCTTCTTTCTCTATGCTTAGCTTCTTGAATAAAGAGATTATTTGGTGAACTAATCTCTCTGTTATAGAGTTGGATTCAAGATTTAATGTATTGGTTCTAAGTTCTTTGAAAACTAATGATCAAAATGTTAACACGGATACTAATTTTCAGGAGTTTTACTCATATATATATATATATATAGTCGAAATAAGAAGTTTTGGGTTCAGCTGAAGAGGGTCGGACAACATTGGATCTATTGTACTCAATTTTGTCTTCCATTTATGTAATAAGTTGTTTTCACGACTTGAACATGTGATGGATGTCCTAACCACAGTGTCGTGCCAAGACTCCTTTTCTTTATTGTTCTTGTATGATTGTTTTTATACCAAAATAAAAAGTGATTTTAACACGAATAACCTGTCAGATTCACTGTTCCAGTATACACTGATTATACATGACTTAAAGCGATTAGGTGGGCAGCTTGGGTTAATTCTTCAAATAAAAATCTTTGGAGAAATGAATAAAGTTTTTTGACTGTTGACATTGCAGGGGAAACAAGAATTGGGCACATATACAAAGATGATTTTACAGAAAGGCGATTGAAGGAAGGAGATGTGTACAGCATTCGAGCTGGCTCTGCTTTCTATCTTGTTAATCCAGCTGAGGGACAGAGACTTCACATCATTTGCAGCATTAGCACCTCTAGCAGCTTAGGATGGCTCGGTTTCCAGGTACCCCTTTTGCATTGTCTTTTGAATGTAACCTATATCTTGTAAATTTCAGCAAAAATGGATCTTTTTTTTAGAGAGATTCTCTTTTGGCTGTTGAATTGTTGAGTTACAATTGATCATTTTTTGCAGTCTTTCTTCATTGGTGGTGGAATGTATCCAACATCTGTACTTGCTGGTTTCGACACTCTGACATTATCGACAGCATTCAATGTAAGTTATGAGAACTCTTGAAGCAAACATATCATGATATATTTAAGGGGTTGTTAGCCGACCAGATTCAATATTCAATTTTCTTGCCGATATACATAGAATATACATTAATTATACATAGTTATACATATATTACACGAGTTATATATAGTATATATCTGCCGGTTATTTTTAGTTTAAGAGATTAAGTCCGTGGCTATTTGAGTTAGTTCTTCTATACTTAACTAGGATTTTAAGTACCACACTCTCACATGTAAAAAACATTTACACAATCATGTCACATATTAAGTGAAGTTCTTGATAAGCATTAATTGGTAATTTTGTAAAAATGATAACTTGCGATCACATGTTAAAATTGACAAACTAGCTAGCAGTTTGCACTCTCATGCATATGACTTGAATCCCTTTATAAAGAAGTAAAAATAGTTAAATCAAGATTCGTTACCATGACAGGTATCCACAGCAGAAGTGAGTGAGATCTTGACAAGACAATATTCAGGTGCAATTGTATATCTGAACACTACACATTCTCCTACACCGAGCATATGGGCTACATTCTTGAACCTAGAACAACACCAGAAACTTGAACACCTAAAGAGAATTGTGCATTTGGAGGAAGAAGCTAGCCAAGAAGAAGAAGAGGAAAAAGAGCAGCCAATATGGTCTTTGAGAAAGTTCTTGACTAATCTTTTTGGTAATGAAAGAAACAGGAGAGAGGGGAGGAAAGGCGACGACAGACGAAGAGGCAAAGGTCCAGACTCCTACAATCTTTTTGACAGAAAGGCAGATTATAAGAATGACTATGGGTGGAGCTTGGCCTTAGATCAATCTGATTATTCTCCATTGAAGCATGCTGACATTGGCGTCTATCTTGTCAATCTTTCAGCGGTAATTTCGTTTCACCATTCTTTTTAACCATGATGTTTCGTCCATGTTTAGTGTCGTAGTTTAATGTAATTACTAAACTTTTAACAAGTGACTGTTTAATCACTATACTTTATTCATTATAATTAGCGCATGTGTAATCACTAAACTTTATCCAGTATAATTAGTAGAGGAGCTAAGTTTGATGAAAAGAATATAATTGAATGATCTCGGAGAGCAGAGAAATTTACGGTGCAAATAGGCTAAAAACAAAAAACTTGTGTGTGTACTATCTCTTGAATCCCCTTATGGAACAAAAACTTGTGTGTATACAATCTCTTGAATCCCCTTCTGGTGTAGAGTGAGTGATTAAGGAAGCTTTAAGATGTAGTGTGATGAAGGGTTCCATATATTGCTTTAGATTTTGAATTCTAGTCGTGACACTACTGCAATTTTTGTGTGAATTTTCTTGTTAGAATTCCCAGACCCTGATTATAACAATGTTCTATAAAAATAATTAAGGGGGCAGCCACACAGAGACAACTTACCATTGCTCAGGGCTCCCTTCAATTATAACATAAACTTATTTTGTAATTTGTCACATTAGAAGAAGTAACTATACTATATTTTTTTTTTTTCTTTTTTGTAGGGAGCTATGATGGCACCTCACATTAATCCAACAGCAACAGAATATGGAATAGTGTTAAGAGGAAGTGGCAGTATCCAAATTGTGTATCCAAACGGTACACTAGCAATGAACTCGAGAGTAAACGAAGGAGATGTGTTTTGGGTGCCAAGGTACTTCCCCTTCTGTCAAATTGCATCAAGAACCGGACCATTCGAGTTCTTCGGTTTCACAACAACAGCAAAAAAGAACAGGCCACAGTTCTTGGTAGGTCAGAATTCAATACTACAAAGCATGAGAGGACCTGAATTTGCAGCTGCATTTGGTGTTAGCGAAGAGAGGCTTAGGAGAATATTGGATGCTCAGCGTGAAGCTGTTATTTTGCCGTCGGCGGCCGTTGCTCCGACAGAGCCGATTGATCCGAGAGAGGAGGAGGAAGAAAGAGGAGAGAGAGGGAGAGAGCAGGAGATTGTAATGAAAATACCAGAAGTGATTAGGAGCTTTGGCAATGACATGATCATGGGATTTGCTTAGAACTAAGCTGCCTGTTATTTGCATGAGGCTGTAGATTCATTTTGGAGTTTTTATTGCTTTGTTCATCTTATGTTTGCTTCCTTGTCTTGTTCGACATGTCTTTTGCTTTTGTGAATAAGAACATGGATTTAGTTTTTCCTCTCGTCACTTTGTTTATTTGTCCTCTTCTTTTTTTGTGTGTATAATTTAGCTTCTCTTTCGCTCTCTGAATTTTATATGTAAGATCAGATGGGATGCATACGAGTCAGACTGTTTTCCTTACCCGATAACAATATAATATTGTGTGTATTGGGTTCCTATATAGTGATTCATAACGTAAATGTTCGTTGGCGCCAACGCTGCAAGCTGGGGAAACATAAAAAAAGGAAGTAACAGCATCGGGCTGAGATAGGAGACCAACTGTCCCCCCAAAATGAAAATTTGACTACTCAAATGCGTCGTAATTAGTGGTGAAAAAAAAAAAATAGTTATTCACCTATATTATTCATTAAAAATGGTCTGGATAATGAATTATTCATTAGAAAATGGATTGAATAATAAATTTTTATATTTGTAAAGTTTTAAAATGGGGGTTCCTCAAATTTAGGAGTCTAGGCTAGTGTTTGGCCATAGATTTTTAAATTTGTTCTGAAAAATTTGATTTGGGTGAAATTTGGTTTGAAGATAAAAATGTGTTTGGACATTAGTTTTTAAAATATATTTTTTAATTTTATTTTGAAAAAATATAACATGGCTTATACCTACAAGTTCTAAAAACTATCAGAAATACCCAACGGTATCATTATCAATAACATTCATTATATTATCGCAAATCATAGTTTCGAACATAAATAAATTTGATACAAAATTATCATTTTTATAATGAACTACATGATACACTATCAGGTGACCGAGAAGACGAAGCAACATTGTTACAAAATAATAAATGGTGGACTCTTTTATAAAATATAAAAGTTTGGGACAATTTTTAAAAAATGTAATAGTGATATTTTGGCCCAAAACCAGCGATTGGGATTTGGGATTTTGCCAAAATATAGGCAAAATCTATGACCAAACATGTGTTTGCCAAATAAAACCCAAATTTATTTTGACAAAATCTATGGCCAAGCGGGTCCTAGAAATTCTTATCGGGAAGAGAAAGAAGCAGATAGAGCAAGGGCCACTACAATTGCTTTAGCGCTAGGTCTCTCGAGCCTTGCCTTTTTCCATGTCTCCCGAAGAAGATTAAGAGCTGAAAGCGGTATCTATCGGGAGTTCAGTTCAGCGTCACAAACTTTTTTGTTTTCATGCCGAAGAGTTCTTAACAATATTTATGTTATGAAAGAGTACGAAAAAAAAAATTCCCAAAAGTGATCAATATTCAATAAGCCATTGATAATATGGATATTCATATTACCCGTTGGCAGTGGCGGACGCACGTGGTGGTAAGCGGGTTCAACTGAACTTGCTTCATCAAAAAATAATATTGTGTATATGTATAAATTAGGATTAAAGTTGCGTAAATTTTGTATAAATATTTTATGTGAACTCACTTGACAACTACTATTTTACGACTAAAGTTATGTACTTATAAGATTGAACCCGCTTGCACAAAATTTTGGGTTCGCCACTGCTCGTTGATTAACCTATTTTTTATCGGTATAAATATAGGTTGGGTCGAATAATTTATTTATTTTTGTATTATTCGACCCGTCCTGCGTCCGACCTGACACACCCATTTGCCACCCTTAATCTTAATTCTTTGCAAAGCGACCTAGAATATAAAGAAGGCCAAAAGGAAGACTAACCAAAGAACAAACCAAGACGCGAGTCTAAACAATTGCCACTACCGTTATGCCAGAACAACTCAGATGGTCACTCGTCATCCATGCATGGATATATCATTTGCCTACAAAAAGATCTGAGGAATTACCGACTTTAAAAATACTGTTTTGATTGACACGGTGTGATTTAAAGGTTATAGTGGTCAAAATTTGATCCGGACCAAGTGTAATCATTCTAACTGTAGCTTCGGTTTAAGACTTTAATCTAAAATAAGTTTGTAGTAAGAGTCGTGGACTCGTGGCTCAATCTAGCATGCACTATTTGTACTGTGTATACGGTCAAAATCGAGTTTGTCCTTCGTGCGACTAATCAAGATTGAAGCATGATAGACCGAAGTTCGTCATTATAATATCGAACTGTGATGTGAAATTGGAAGGTCAAGCTCGAAACCCAGAGACCGATCAGTACCGAGATCGAGTCAAGGTCGAGCTCGAGACCCAGAGACCGATCAAATATCGAGATCGAGTCAAGGTCGAGATCGAGATCCAGAGACCGATCAAATACCGAGATCAAGTCAAGGTCGAGCTCGAGACCCAGAGACCGATCAAATATCGAGATCGAGTCAAGGTCGAGATCGAGATCCAGAGACCGATCAAATACCGAGATCAAGTCAAGGTCGAGCTCGAGACCCAGAGACCGACCAAGATCGAGACCGGGCCAAAAAACAACAAAGCCGTTATAGCCGCATTTGGGGAGAGAATCTCGACTAAAATCAGGGCTTGAAACAAGAAAAAATCAATTAATTAATCTATCATGGGATTCCCACTATGTACTTTTAATTATATCCAAAGTAAGATTCCTCCATTGTATTAGGATTGGCTAACATTTGTAAAGGGGAGATTGATATACAGTCACACATTCTCACATTCACAGATTATTGAGATTTACATAACATCTAGCAAATATTATCCTTTTTTGGGCTTTTGATATTTGATTCATCTTGTTCATTTATCAATCATTCTCTACTCAATTAGGGTTTGTATTCATTCTTTTTTACAGTTAATATTCAATATATCCCTACTTATTTTTCCAATTTGTGCCGAGTTATACCACGTATCCTTAGAACTACGTATAAATTCAACTCTATCCGTTTTTTGGGTAAACAGTTTGGCGCCCACAGTAGGGCTAAAGATAACAGTGGTTATTTGGTACGAATCTCTACAAAACACACCATTTTACACTTTCTCTTGGAAGTGTCTTTGATTTCAGGTTAAAATCGACGAACTCTCAATTAATGGCCCTATCTATCAACAACGAAGCTGGCCTTCAAGATGAGAACAACAACCCGACGACCGGGGACGAAAAGCCACTCGTCGATCCCATTGGAGCTCGGATCGTAGATCCAATTGACGTTAATTCACATGTGACCATCGAGGCGAACCAACGTTCCGACCTCGAAAACAGCATTCATGGTGGAACTCAATCTGCAGTTCGAAATACCCAAAATGTTGGAGAAGACGGGATCAACCTGCATATGATTTTCGAAATGTTGCAAGCTCAACATGTAGCAATAGCTCAGTTGCAGAGCCAAACCCAGGCACCGAGCAGGGCCGAGCCCGGTCCACCTCGAGAAGTCACCCACAAAATGGGGCCAGCTGTAGTAAGATCAAATAAACAAGAATCGGGGACTAATCCCGAAATTATTAGGATGCTCGAGGAAGTAACAAAACGAATTGAGTCGGGAGAAAAGAGGGTTGAAGCAAACGACAAAAAAATAGAAACTTATAACTCCAAGGTTGATCAGATCCCGGGGGCACCACCGGTGTTGAAGGGCTTGGATTCCAAAAAACCCGTACAAAAGCATTTCCCCCTGAGCGTGGCTCCCAAACTGATCCACAAGAAGTTCTGCATGCCGAAAAATCCTAAATATAATAAGACGACCGACCCCAACGAACATGTCACCTCTTACACATGTGCCATTAAAGGGAACGATCTAGAAGACGACGAAATCGAATCCGTATTATTGAAGAAGTTCGGGGAAACCCCGTCAAAGGAGCAATGATATGGTATCATAATTTACCGCCTAACTATATCGATTCTTTTGCCATGCTTGCAGATTCTTTCGTAAAAGCACATGCCAGAGCCATAAAGGTCGAGACCAGGAATTCAGACCTTTTCAAGGTAAGGCAAAAAGATAACGAGATGCTAAGAGAGTTCGTATCTCGTTTTCAAATGGAACAAATGGATCTACCACTAGTCACGGACGATTGGGCTGTTCAAGCTTTCACTCAAGGACTGAACGAAGCTCGACGGCTTCACGATAGTTGAAGCAGAACTTGATCGAGTACCCGATTGTTACCTGGGATGATGTACACAATCGATATCAATCGAAGATTAGAGTCGAAGATGACTAGTTGGGTTCTAGGTCCGTTATTAAAAGGGACATCGACCGAGAACCAAGGTCGAGCAAGGACCGATATTGGCCGTATAACGGAGATCGTAGGGGTAGTGAACCTGCACGCAACTCCGTACGAGGTGAAAGGAGAAGTGATCGAGGCCAAGGGTCTTGGGGCTAATGAACAAGAATGGGTTCGACCGGCATACCGGACCTAAGGAAGCACCACGGTTATCAGAATATAACTTCAACATCGATACATCCGCCATCGTGTCAGCTATCGGACGCATCAAAGATACTAAGTGGCCTCGACCTCTGCAGTCTGATCCAACTCAGAGAAATTCCAATCAAATGTGCAAGTATCATGACACCCATGGCCACATAACTGAAAATTGCATGCAGTTGAGATAGGAGGTAGCCCGGTTATTCAATGAAGGGCACCTTCGAGAATTTTTAAGTGACCGGGCCAAAAACCATTTCAAAAACAGAGATTTCAATAGACAAAACGAACAAAAAGAGCCACAACACATCATCCACATGATCATATGAGGGATCGATGTCCCCCAGGGACCGGTGCTTAAATGCATTAAGATGTCGATTGTAAGAGAGAAGCGATCTCAGACTCGGGATTATACACCAAAAGGAACCTTGTCCTTTAGTGACGAAGACGCGGAAGGAATCATGCAACCCCATAACGATGCACTGGTAATATTTGTACATATGAATAAAACTCAAGTTAAGCGTATGTTAATTGATCCAGGTAGTTCGGCCAACATCATTAGATCAAGGGTCATAGAGCAACTCGGTCTACAGGACCAGGTCGTGCCTGCAACCCTGGTACTAAACAGATTCAATATGGCGTGTGAAACTACTATGGGCGAGATAAATTTGCCAGTAAACGTGGCTGGGACCATCCAAGAAATGAAGTTCCACGTGATCGATGGCGATATGAGATATAACGCCATGTTCGGGAGGCCATGGATC